GATTAATTAGCAGTTTAAAGACAGCAGTGCAAATATTAGCGCTTAATATAAAGGGTTTGTTGCAATTCTTTCCTTTGCCTTTGGATACCAGGAAAATAATGATCCTCCAAAGCCACACCTCTCCCATGCAAAATACCATGTCTTCCTATTTCAGGCCATGGGCCTTCTGGCCTTTCTTTTCCTTAATGATGCTCCTAACATCATTGCTGGGGGAGACGCGGAGCAATAGGATCCAATTAAGTGACATCCAGTACACGATCTGTCGCACCAGGTCAAGTGACATTACACTGGCTGCGATTAGTGGGCTTCTGAGCAAGAATTCTTAGAAAAATGTCATAATTATCGAGACCAGTCCTGAACTTTGAGCATCCCTTCAGGAACAATTAAAGATATTCCTAGAAATCCTCGAGCCTTCTTAAAATCTTTAAACAGACTATAAAAACCCTCTTGTTAGATTGCGGTTGTCAGGAGATGAGTGCTTGCGCTGTGATGGTGCAATAATTGGGTCTTTGTGAAGGAACTGAGGATTGAGAGTAAGATTCCAATCTCAGTGAGTTAGAGATGGGAAAACGAAAACCAGACAAAAGCATCGTGCAGAAATAATAATGAATTTTTGACAATTTTATAACGAGAGGAATGTATTTCTCACTTTTCAATAAAAGCAGATGAACTCATTAATAACTCATAAAATGCCATGAAAATTAAAGTTTTAAAACAGGCTTAGTTTATTCCCTCAGATATTAGTTCATTTTTATTTGAGAAACACTGCATTTGTGAGTGAGCGATTTATGAATCATTAAAGATATTTCAGTGAGACCAAGCCTCTAGCACTGAAAACCAAGCCAAGCAAGTGCAGATTTACTTCTCTCCCCTTCCTTTGGTGTAGCATCTTTCATGACTGCTGTGGAGATGCTCATCTTGGAGCAGAGCATGCCAGTGCTGGGGCGTGCACAGATTTTTGGAGAAGGTATTTCCAAAATCCAAAAGATGCCTCTGTTTTCCATTTAACGTTTCAATTTCTCTTTTATTTTTAACATTCCTTTATGCTTACTGTTACTCTTTCTCCCTTCCCCCAGCTGGGCGCAGGCTGCAGATAGAAATGGAGGCTGGGCACACCAGTGATGCTCAGGAGGGGATAGCAGGTGACCCACAGGCACCATAGATCCACAGAATCACAGCATGGCCTGGGTTGCAAAGGAGCACAACGCTCATCAGTTCCAACCCCCTGCTGTGTGCAGGTCGCCAACCAGCAGCCCAGGCTGCCCACAGCCACATCCAGCCTGGCCTTGAATGCCTGCAGGGATGGGGCATCCACAGCCTCCTTGGGCAACCTGTGCCAGTGCCTCACCACCCTCTGGCTGAAAAACTTCCTCCTCATATCCAACCTAATCATTAAGGCTGGAAAAGACCTCACCACATCTAACTATCGACCCCTCACCACCATACCCATTAAAGCCTGCCCCTAAACCAGGCCTTCACATTTCTGGAGCCTGCAGTGCTTCCGTTTATTTCCCAGAATCATCTCTTTTGGCCATGTTTATGAATAAATCCTATTTCAAACATATCAAGAATTATTTTAAAAGGCACATGCTTTATAAAATCTTTTGAGGGATAAGAAGAAACATGAAATGAAAAATACAGTCATCAATGATTCGTTTATCTTCAGCAGCGTCTCCAGTTTCAACAAACTACAGACAGAAAACGAATGTGCAAAGGGAGGGACCTGCAGATGTGCTTGAGTCGAAGAGTTCTCTCCAAACAGCTCGCAGGGCACCTGCTGCCTGCAGAGCATTGTTCTGAGAGCAGGAGGGCTCCCGCAGGGGCACTGCGTGTTGCTGTGGGCTGAGCCGCCCTCCCCAGCCCTGCTCATGCTCACATACAGCTCCCTGGGTAAGAGGATCTCTTCCAACACCCCCCTGCCCAGAGGAGCTTCACGTGCTGCAGCATGTTGCCTTCCCTCCGGCTGTGTGTGGGACCTTGGGCCAATGGGAAAGCTGGCACTGCTGGCAAGCTGCACTTACTGTGCAGAAGTAGTCATTCTTGGAGAGATCAAAAGAGATCAAAGAGTACACATGAATCTGTAAACATCCAGGTGACACGGTGTGCAGATACCTAAGAACACTACTATCTGCAGTGGGTGTGCGTTCTGCTCTAATAGCAGTTGACTTTCTTCTCTGTGAGCATCGACGTGGAGCTGGCTCTCCTGAACACCGGTGCTCAGTTGCTGAAGCAGGAAAGTCAGAATGTATTCTGGGTGCGCTCCCTGGTGTGTCTGCAACAGAAAACATTCAAAATTGCTCCAAATGCTGTAACTTAATAACATAATGTGTCTCAGATAGGTAGCACGGTGTGGCAGCGTTCTGTGCAGAAAGAAACAAATGTAACTTCAGGGAACCCAAACAAGGAGATGTGCCTCCACCTCCTGCAGGAGCAGCCTCTGCTCTGCTCAGCCTGGGAAGCTCAGAGGAAGCAGTGGAAAATGAAAGATCTACGTGTGGTTTCTAAGTTGCTCAAGGAAGTTGTGGAAGCCCCATTGCTGGAGGCATTCAAGGCCAGGCTGCATGTGGCTCTGGGCAGCCTGGGCTGCTGGTTGGCGACCTGCACACAGCAGGGGTTGGAACCAGATGAGCACTGTGGGCCTTTGCAACCCAAGCTATTCTATGATTCTATGATTCCATGTTATTTCCCCTCTGCAGTTACTATGTAGTGACAAAACTAAGGAAAAAAAAAAACGATTATTTTTTTCCCTTAAAATGTTTAAAATTTGCTGATTAAATTTGCTGATTTATGCTTCTTGTTGAAAGAACACTGTCACACAGTTTGGTGGGGACCCACGCAGTCCTGTGACATGCAGCAGCTCCCAGTAGCTGGCTGAGATGTGCACTGCCCATGCAGCTCCCAGTGCTCCATACCTATATATCACAGGTACAGATCTGACCTTGTTTGTCTCCACCTCTGAAACTTTCTGCTTTGTCAGCCGCTGTTCGCAGCCTTTCTTTTATCAGCACGCCTTTCTCACCAAACTGCTTTTCTTGTTTCATCTCTTCAGCGGGGAGATCTCCTTCAGCCCTCAATTTATCTGCCACTTTCAGACATTTTTTCTTTACATTTTATCTGATTTTTCTTTACAAATGTGGAGTGTGGCATCGCTAAAGCTAAATGGCCTTACGCTGACAATGTTTAAGTGGTGCCTAATGTGGTAGGCACATTCTCCTAACAGACAGCAAGCTGTTCTGCTAACCCACAGCCCCTAGGAGAGGAGCACATCCTGTACAATTACAGCATCTGATGTCGTTTGAAACCCTGAACGCATGGCAAGTAGGAGGAGCAGCTTCAGATTATTGTCCTGGTTGAATCCAATTGTTTAGGCTGTTCTCAGCATCCTGTGACAACTCCTCTGCAGGAAAGAACAAAGGTGCCTCTTTGATCCCAGCCTATAAGACCTGATGGGCCGTGGGTGCTTACAGCACAGCCAGCATTCAGATGGCATCCTGATGGCATTGCCACTGGGGAGCTCACCTGCTCATAGAATCAATCATAGTATCATAGAATCGTAGAATCGTAGAACCACAGCATGGCCTGGGTTGCAAAGGAGCACAACGCTCATCAGTTCCAACCCCCTGCTGTGTGCAGGTCACCAACCAGCAGCCCAGGCTGCCCAGAGCCACATCCAGCCTGGCCTTGAATGCCTGCAGGGATGGGGCATCCACAGCCTCCTTGGGCAACCTGTTCCAGTGCCTCACCACCCTCTGAGTGAAATTAGGATTCCTCCTAATATCCAACCTGAACCTCCCATCTCAGCTAAGTGGTTGCTCACACAGAATCCATATGAGGCAGCATACATGCGGGTGAGCCCACGCTGGGGCTTTCAGGCTGCATGGGGATCCTCCCCAGGCTGTGATCTGCAGCCACGATACAGCACACCTGCATAGCTCAGCCTCCTGCTGGTAGTCCCAGACCATGCTGGGCTCCTTGTGCTGACACCGGCTCAGTGGAGCACCATGGAGCTGGGCTGATCCCACTGCCCAGTGGGACCTGGGGTGCCTGAGCTGGGGCTGCATTGTGGTTAAATATCCCAGGAAACGTAGAAAACAAGCAAACAGACATCAAAACAGCCTTGGCTCAAATTAAGTCCTCAGAGTTTTTCAGAGCCCACCTGGACTTGCACCAGATCTTTCCTCTTACTGACTTATGTTTAGCAACAGGAGAGGAAGATGCAACCTTTGTAAAACCCATCCATCCACGCCTTGGAAAAGCTGTCCATATGGCGAGGTGTGCTCACGCTCCTCCTGACGCCAGGGACCATATGTGAAACACGATTCTTGTTGTGCTCTCTCCCAGGAGCTACACGTGTGCTGCTTTGTTGGGCACTGTGACACCACGCAGTGGCTGGACCTGGGCATTCCAGCTCAGCTTCACAGCTGCTTCCCTGCCATGCTGGAGAACCCTCTCCTATAGCCCAACATATCCCCAGCAGATAATTACATATCATTACCCATTTCAGCATGTCTAGTTTTAGCTTGGAGAAGAGAAGGCTCCGAGGAAAACTCATTGTGGCCTTCCAGCACTTGAAGGGAACATACAGACAGGAGGGGGAACGGCTGTTTACAAGGGTGGATAGAGATAGGACAAGGGGGAATGGTTTTAAACTGACGCAGGGTGCCAGGGTGCACTGCACAGCAGCCCAGGGGTGGGGGTCAGCATCCCTGGGGGTGTTTGGAGCCGTGGGGATGTGTGTGCCACTGAGTGATGTGGTCAGTGGGCATGGGGAGTGGGCTGGGGGTGGATTGGGGTCTTTTCCAACTGGAATGATTCTGTGGTTCTGTCTTTAGGTAAGGTCCCAGCAGCTCTGCTCAGCACTGCTCCCATGTTCTGTGCAGCCCGTCCCAGGGGTGGGGGCTCTGCGGTGCCCAGCAGCTCTCCCATTCAGCCCTCAGTGACCCTTTGGGTGCTCTGTGCTCAGCCTCACCTAATTGCTTTCTCTGATCATTTTATTTCAGCAAAACCATTTGAGAGCGGGCAGTACTTGGACATCTATGGAATTACAAGAGATCAGGCTGGGGAGTACGAATGCAGCGCAGAAAACGATGTCTCAGTCCCAGACGTGAAAAAAGTAAAAGTCACAGTAAACTGTAAGTCATGTTGGTTTCTAATCACTAAATCCAATGGAGGAGAGGGGCTCTGCTGGGAAGAAAAATGTAACTCAGAGAACTGCTGCTCGTGATGAAAATGTAGATCTGTTTTTTGGTGGAACAGTAGCGAAAAGCCCGCGGTGTCTGAGGTGTGAGTGGTTCTGAGCAGCGGTCAGTAGGAGAGGACCAGGTTCAAACCTGACTGCTGTGCTGGCAGCAGTGCGGGGCCAGCATGTGGCCTGGGCTGGGCTCTGCTGCGGGCTCTGGGCTTGGTGGTTATTCACTGAGTAATTTCTGTGATTCCTGGTCTGAAACGTTTCTGGTTTAACTTGTCGTGGTTGTGCAACGGGACAGGGAGATGAGAAATATGGCACTCTGTGTGGGTGTGAGAGTGGATCCCAGCACAGGCAGCGAGTGTGGGCACTGCTGGCACAGGAGCTGTGCTCTGCCTCTCCTCCAGTGCTGTGGGCACTGCTGTGGGTGCCAGCATGGCCTCTGGTGGGGCTGCAGACCACAGTTCTGCCCTCCTCAGGTGTCTGCAGAAGTCGGATGCTTTCTGGTTTGGGATCGGATTTGATTTGACATTCAGTACAACAAGAAATGTTCAAAATGGTGTTCTTTTCCCTTCCAAAAAATGTTTAAAAAAGGGAAAGAAAATGGGAATAATTACACTAATCCACTCTAGCTGTGAATTTTCTTAGGTTAAGTGCAATTACGCAGCTTGTGATTTGCAGCAGTTCCTGCTCTGAAAATCACTGTGGCATCGTTACTGATTTACAGATGCTGGAGGCCCTGGATTTGTGCCCCCCCCCCCCCCCTCCTCCCCCCCAACCCACAGGCTGAGTCCATCACAGTTCTCTGTAAAACCTGTGGGCTGAAAACCACAGTGCTGGTGGAACAAGTGACCGCTGGGCTGTGTGCAGGTTGTTGTTACTGGAAGACTGTCAGGAAGAGGTGTTGTGCAGATATGTGTGCATAGATGGAGCATTTTGGTCAGGCTCTGGCACAGGTGCCCAGGAGTGGGGGGGTCAGCATCCCTGGGGGTGTTCCAGAACCATTGGGATGTGGCACTGGGCAGTGAGCACGGGGAGCTGGGCAGGGTTTGGATTCGGGTTCTTGGAGGGCTTTTCCAACCTCAATGGTTCTGTGATTCTATAAATGTGAAGGGGTGTTGGGGGGTGATGCTCTTCACACCCCAGAATGTGCTGTGTGGTTTAAGTGATGCCTGGTGGTAGAGTCCAGAAGGGGCAACGTGGTCTGCTTGTTTTATCAACACAAAAACTGCCTCTGAAGACTTTATGTCATGGGAGCCTTAAGAAGGGTGATTGTAAAAAGGGAGAAGACGATAGCCCTGCTTAGCATATTTCATTTGAAAAAAGAAAAGAGGAGTGGTAAAGAATCATGAAATCAGCCATTCTCCCTCATCTTCCGAGCCAAGATCAAAACTTGCACAAATCCTTATTTAGATAAATCATCATGTTCATGTGTGTTTGGATAAATCATCATGTTCATGCTCTGGCCAAAGCCAGAGTTCTACTTTAATTGAGCAGTTTGTGTAGCATACTTGTGCCCTGTGAAACTGCAATTGCTTCTGGGATCAGTTCCCCTGTTTCCTAGGGACAGTTATGGTTTGTCACTGTGTATGGGAAAGATCAGCCTTGTGGCACTGCTGAGAGCACAGAGGCCAGTGGGACCTCCCCGTGCCCCATGGCCAGAAGCATTGGCTGTCAGGCAGCTGAGCTGCAAGGGTTGGGATTTGACCTCCCTCAACACCAAGCCAGGGGGGCTGTGATGACGGAGGTGTGTGAGTGTCAGTGCCAGCCACAAGCAGGGCAGCTCGGGTCTGACAGCAGGGCACTTCCAGTCATGGCAGGGGGAAGTTATCAGGAAGTGTCCTTGGCTGTAGCAGGGGTGCACCTGGTGCTGGGTTTCTGTGCCAGATTCAGGCAAAATGCTAGGTCTGCACTGGGGCATGCAGAGTAGTTTTTCTCAGTCTCTTGCAAGTAAAGAAGGAAGAATCAGAAGCAATGCAAAACTAGGATCTGTCTACAGCTTGGAACTGTTTGTATATGTGAAAGATTTGTCACAGTCAGCAAACTGCACACGCATTTCAGTGTGCTGAGTGTGCTGTCCTCACGCTCAGCTCTGCAGCCCCTGCAGGGCACATCTGGTGCAGGAGCCCCGAGCTGCACCTCATTGCAGCGAGCTGTGCTCTCCTCTGCCACTCACCATCACCCCTGTCTCCCCACTGCAGCCCTTCATCCCCAGGCAGACATGAGCACTTTGCTGGCCACCATGCTGCATACGCTCTGCAGCTCTTAGTGACTCTGCTTTGGGACCTTGGGTTTGTCCTTTGTGCCATTTCATGTCGCATAATCCATATTTTGTACGTAACTTATGTGTGTCCACATGGTTTCCCTTTTTAAAGAGATGTTCCGAGAGGCTGTGGTGTTTGTTTGTGTTTGCATTCTGAGGAGGAGAATCATTGGTGGGGTCTCAACATTAGGTGGTGGGAGGGGGATTCCCAATCATTGTTGAAATCAATAAAATAGAATATGATTTCACTTCAAAGCAAAACTTGCTAGCATTTTCTACTGTGATTTATAAAGCAAATGCTGATGGATAGATGCTGAATTCAAAGCCCCTGTGAACAAACCACTGCCTGCTTAGCAGGAGCTCAGCAGCAGCTGTGAGCAGCCCCGTGCCCCACACCTGTCCCTGCAGCCCCACTCACGCTCTGGTTTATGGTGACACACTTAGAAAGATTAAACACAACCATCTCCAGAAGCACTGCAGCCGTGCTGAGATGATGAAGAACGAGGTGTGTGCATCACGAAGCCGGCGTTTATCTTAATTTAGATAAAATTTTCAATTACCCAAATAAATAGTCAACATGGGCTGTATTGCAGCGTTCCTTCTTTTCAGATGCCACATAACCAGTCTCAAACAGCTTTGTTATAGCTGGATCTTGTGGACTGTACTGAATTAAGTTCAGCTGCCTTTGGAGAGGAAAGAGAAGCCATTCATCTCAAATTAAGAGGCAGTGATTTAATTTCAGCCTTGATGAACCCCATCACGTGGCAGATTGAAGGCCAGGTGTGCTGGGGCTTGCTGGGGAGGTGCAAATTGCAGTCGCGGTGCTGAGGATGTGCGGCTGCAACAGAGGAGGAAACTGCTCTGTAAATTCAGTGGGCAGCTGACAGGGCAACAGGGAGGTAACCCAAACTGCTCCCAGTACAGAATGGAGCACTGCCTGCTTGCAAAACCATATCCTTGCACAAAGATCCATTTGATCAAGAGATAATAAGGAGGAAAGAAAACAGACATGAGCAGATGACCTGTACCCAGTCACACTTTGCCCTTGCCTCGGTGTCACCATGGGACACTGCCTGGTCACCCTGCAAAGGATCCCCAGCTTTGGGGGGGGCGGGGACATTAAGCAGCACACAGGCAGCACATGCTGCTAATGCCAACCTGTTTGCTGTGCTCAGCCCATGGTTTGCCCCAAAGCACCGAGCCTGGCCCTACTGCAGCCAGAGCTGATGGTCCAGCACACCCTGCTGACAAACCTGCTGTCAATCACATTGTGTCGTGGCATCTTCCAGGTGCTTCCACATCTTTGATTACCTGAATGGCATCATTATGGGGAGTGAGGACAAATGGTCTGGTTTATAATTCCCTGGCATCTGCCTGTGGTTCAGGAATGCTGTAGTTTTCGCACTGGCATCGTCCAGGCCTTGGTGGCACCCACATCTGGTGGCTGCTGCCCAGCCCTGAGTGGAGTGAGCAGTGCGGGGCTGGGAGCTCAGCAGGCACCAAGCGCTGCTACAGGTGGCTGTGTGTAATTCTGCACTGCTCCCTTCCTGCTCCTTTCTTTCCTGCTGCAGTGGTTTAATAAGACATCCTATGTTGTGTTTTTAGTGGAGTTTTTTTTGTTGGTGGTGGTTTTTTTATTTTCTTATAGAGGAATGTGTGATTTTCTTGTATGAATTTTAAGTGCTGTGTTTGTTTTTGCTTGGCCAGGTTAGGGTTTTGCAGAACAGCTTAACTCATTAGCATTTCTTAGAAGTCTGCCTTACTGTTGCTATGACATTTGCATAATATTATGCACAGTGCTCTGATTTTACTTTGAAATCAGACATACTGTACAAGCCACTCTAACCTAATTACATCAGTAACCTGAGACCTACCAGGAAACTCAAGATGGGACTCAGGTGTATGCTGGGGCTCCCAGTGCCCGGACACAGGGCTGGGACTTTGTGCTCCCAGAGAGTGCCTTGCTGCCAGCCAAAGGAAAACATTTCCTGGGCAAGGTTCTTTATGTACAGTCAGCAAAGAGGTTTTCCTTCCATCAAGGTGAATATGCTATGAAATAAAAAGGCGGTGGTCCCTTCCAAGCCGTGCCATTCTGTGTCAACTCTTCAACCAGAATCACACCCAAATTGGATGAACAGATGTGCTCACATGTGGCCGTGGCACAGAAGGTCCCTACCTTGAGGTGGCAATGGCTGATGCTGTCCCTGTTGCATCACACTGCTCCTTAATGATGAGGGCCTGCAGCACTGTAACAGCACAGAGCAGTTTGCAGCCCCAATTCCCACTGACCATTCTGAGAGGCACATGTGCACGGTGCCTCAGAGGATTTAGCTCCAGAATACTGTTTTGAAGTATCTAAATTACACTTTAAAAGTTAAAAGCACTCCGGAGTGTCAGTTTAATTGACTTCCTGTGAAACACGTTTCTCTGAATTCTCTGGTTACCTTTCAAAAATGGGATTTTTGGCTTCCAAGTCACACTGGGGACTCGTCAAAAACTCTGGCTGCTGGTGAATATTTGATTCTGCTCACAGATCCGTGGAGCTCAGTGAGATTTTTCTTGGAAGCACTGCTCTGTGCACATCCTCTGGGTGCTGGTGTGCAGGCGGTGCCAACGCAGCCATGGCTGTAAGTCAGTCTATGGGCACAGCAGAGAACGTGGCCGGGCATGAGCTGCAACCATTG